GATATAGGATGGAGGGAGTGGCTGAGTGGTGTGTCCGGAAACGCGTCGTTAAACACTTCGGAACACCAATTTAACGTAGTAAATGGGTGAGAATGGGTCATATCCACAGGGAAGCAGGAGAAAAATAAATACATATTTAGATCCGGGAGAAGAGAATGCAAGTGGGAGTTGCAAAAGTAAAACATTAATAAATTAAAAAAATGGAATTCATTAAAACCAAATTCGAACAGTATTGAGAATAACAAGTGCATAAAAATAAATAAATAACATAAACAACTAAATAAAAGAAACAAAATAAAAATGTCTGAGAATCCGGTTAGAGGTAGCAGTTTCTGGATCTCTCCTTCCTCCCTCGAACTCAAGCTAGGCCTTCCGTCTTACCTGGCTGAATTTCAGATCTGCAAAAAAAGAAATAAAACACAAATTAATTCTAATAAAAATAAATTTGCAGGAAGGAAAAATTAAACTGGAAATTAAAGAACATAAAGTAATTCTAAAACTGAAGAAAATATGGTAGGGATTCAAATCCAAAGGTAGCAGTAGTGGTGTTGGCGAACTACAAGTAGGAACCCCTCCTCTTGTTTGGGCGTCCTTCTCTTACTCTACCCTTGAATTTCTCAAGATCAGTCTTCCTTCTTACCAGGGTGAATTGACAACCCCTTCTATAGGCCCCTGGGACCCTTTTTATAGAGAAGGGTGGACACAATTAGAAATAGAGAGAAAGATGGGGGGTGGTAGCTAGGATTTAGTAAAGTTAAGGACGCCCTAGGGTTTCTAATGGATAATAAATGTATTAAACTATTGGGTTAAATGTATTAAACTTTAATGTCATAAATAAATAATAAAAATTAATAAAATATAAAAATACAAAGATAAAAAAATGCATAGGTTATGAAAAAAAAAACATTCAGACACATGTATAATATAATATATTTATCATATCAAACAAAAAGTAAGTGTAAAAACATCAAAATTAGTTTTACACATAAAAATACAAAAAAAAAAACTATAGTAAAAATTGAACACACCTATAATTCTATATTAACACTACTATTAAAAGTATGAATAAGATTGTGGAATTTTTCTTTTGACTAAAATACTCTTTTTTGAATTTAGTCCCTATTTAATTGCGAGGTTTAAATTATAAACTAAACTATTACTTTTCACCACATTCAATTCACTCTATTTAAATCTTACATTTTTTATAAATGAACAAAAAAGATATAAAAAAAAACAAAACATTAAAAAATGAAGAATCTATCCAAGCAGTATGGGTGCAAATTGATTAGATCATGATTTAATCCTATCCTTTTTGTGGAATTCGGATATCCCCGATCCGGATATTCGAATTGGATCGGGTCGGATAATAAGGTTCGATAAAAAACTAGATCAAATTTGGTTCGCTCCCTATTCAATCCGCTATATATGCTATTTCTTTATATATAAATATATTATTTATATTGCATTTTTGTAAATTTGTTATATTATTTATTTTTTATAAAAATGTATATATATGCTGAAAATAGTTGAAAAGATACTTGTATTTTTAAAATTAAATTAGAATGGATCAAATCCAAATATCTGACTTCCTCATCAGATGTGTATTCAAATCCATGTTTATGAGATGCGATCAGATCTACTGTTAATAGTATTGGATCATATTTGGATATACTGATTCGAATTCGATCCAATCTGTTTGCGTCCCTACTGAGCAAGTAACCTTCTCAATGATACTTGAAACTTCACAACTTAATTCGATTATCACATATTTGGATGAGGTGTTTATGTAATTAGTTTGGATTTTGCAATCTACATCTAATTAATAATAAAAAATATAAAATATAAAAACCAAAAAATACATAAAAGTTTATAGAAAATTTTAGATATATTACTGGTATCATTATCGTCATCTAGAATTGTCACGTGCAAAGCATGTGCCTGCTTACTAAGGCAAGGTTATCCCCATCCCTGTCCCCACGGAGATCCCCCCTTTGATTTTTTATAATGTCATCCATTTTGTTTTTGTTTTGTATTTTATTTAAAAAATTGAAATAAAATAGTTAAAATTTATAATCCTTTTAAAAAAGATTCAAATATATAAAAACATGTTCAACAATATTTTTAAAAACATACGTACATATATATTAGCAGGGATCCCCACACGTTAGGATTAGGGTCCACAAGGTGGGGAGTACTCTCCCCGTCCCCGTCCTCATAGGGGAAGCTCATCCCCATCCTTGCCTCATTTGGGGTGGGTCCCCACTAGGGATGCAAACGGACCGGATCGGATTCGAATCAGGGTATATTCGAATTCGATCCGACATCGTCATGTAGGATCCGATCTGGTCGGATCTGATAGGACTCGATATGATCTTCGGATTTGATTTGATCCGACTTGTTTTCTTTAAAAATTAATAAATTATTAAAAGAAAAAATAAAATATACCAATTTAAATAAAGGAAAACAAAAAGTACAAGCATTTTTTAATTATTTTCATCATATATATATATGTTTTTTTATAAAAAATAATATAACAAATTTATAAAAATACAATATAAATAATATATTTATAAATAAATAAATGGCATATCTATGCATTATATATATATATATATTTATATTTATAAATATATAACACATCGGATCAGATCTTTTTGAATCGGATAGAGGGGTGATACGAATCCGATCCAAAGATCCGACTAGGGTGATCTGATTTTGACCAAATAGGATAGACAAATAGGGGATCCCCACGGAATCAGCGAAATGGGGAAAATTGCCATCCCTATCTAGTACCAAATGCTGTTGTGTCTTGAGAGACAAATGCTTTTCATTTTAAGGAAGAGTTATGGGAAAGAGAAAGAATAAATAATTTATTTTGTACATTTCAAGGACTTGATTCAAAAGGAGAAATAAAGGCATTTGTGAGACATATAGATAGTGGCATTATACATCATCTTCTCTATTATATATACAAACATACATACAACTGAAATAAATAAATAGAAATGGAGAAGCGGAGAAAGACAAAATTTAGGTAATAATAAATGAATTGAATACCCATAATTTAATATGTGAAACAATCTATATCTGTACTACCATTAAAAGTGGGAATGGGGTCTAGATTTTGCAATTTTTCTTGATTAAAATACCCCTATTATTGAATTTGGTCCTTTATTATAGGAGAAAGAAGCATAATTTGAACTACTACTTATATTAAATTTATTCTAATCCCTTTTATTAAGTGTTATATTTAAGATATTAATAACTCCCATCCCTTCTCATTAAATCCTACATTTATTGTCTATTAAATAAATGAGTTTTGTGGACTTTGCTTAACTAAAACACCCCTACTTTTTAAAGTTGATCCTTCTTTGATTATGAAGATATAAAAGGTAATTTAAACTATAACTTTTCACTTCATTTAATTCCCTCTCATTAAGATGTTAATTCTCATTCTCTCTCCTTGGATGCTTTATTTGAAGTGTTTTTATTTCTCACTGATAAACTCTACTAATTAAATATATGCCCACTAATTTTAACAATATAAAACCAGCGTTCAAACCTAACATGAAAACTAAACTATCTTTGTGCCCCTATGGTGAGTACATAGTTCAATTATTTGGGTCAAGTGGGTCAACCAATGGTCTTAGTTAAATATTAAAGGGTTGAAAATAAATAAAAATTACAAAAAATTAGGTACATCTTTAAAACTATAAAATTATTATATTAAATAAAAATAAGTATGATAATAATAAATACTTTATTAATAATGGAAATGAAATACAAAATTTAAAACCAACTTAGAAACGAAGCCATTTTCTTATTCAAGTTGTGGGTCAAAGGTTCAAACTTTTAGGTCAAATTGGTTAATCCACATTCTCATAAGTAAATAACATATTTTTTAAATATAGAGAAAATATTAAAAATACAAAAAAATGTAAAAAAGATTTGGGTACATCTCCAATATTACGACCTTGTTCGTTTTGTGGTAAAGGTGAGCGGGTAAGTCGTTGGGTCCCATGGAATTGCAAGAACACTAGCTGCTATAATGGGGCTCATGGAAAACATTTTTTCCAAAAGAGTACTGGTTACCTCCTAAGGGTGGATAATTTATTTACCCACCCGCTGAAAACTCAAATTGCCTTCTTATCATGCCTTACTTGGGTGACTACTTGCCAAGATGAATGTTGTATTTGCATGTACCCGGTCAATGTTATCACTTACCTGGGAAAACGCATTACTTAAGTAACACAAAACAAATGAGGCCATGCATTGCATCATATCAAGTGTGATAAAAGTTTAAACTAACTAAAAAAGAAAACTATTTTTCAACTAATTGGTGGTGGTGGTTCAGTGACTCATACGGATAGAAATTGGGTGGGCTCAATTTGAACCTAGACCAACCCACCTTGCAATTTTAGACAAATTGACTTCGATTTTTGGTCCTCAAGCTCAGCCTAGGCCTAGGACCCAAAGTTGCTCTTCTAGTTTTTTCAACTTGCACATATAAGAATGAAAATGGATTGGATCATGATTTGATTCAAATTTGAATTCGGTCATATTTTCTCGGATTTAGACATCCCCCTATTGAAAATTTCATCATAAGTGTTATTTGAAAATTTAAAAATAATGGAGGGCAAATTGTGAAACTACATTCTTAATAATTTTTTATTTTTAGTAGCTAACGAGAAGACAACCTTTGGAAACCTGAGATCCGTATTACACGAGTTCGGATCTAGTCCCAGGTCCCAACTACCACTCCCAACAACCACTGCAGCCGTGTATGGGAACATCTCACTTGTCCGGTGAGATGTTCCCGATGTACAGCTGCAATATTAGTTGGGACTGGTCGTTGGGACCTGTGTTGGACCAAATCTGCACTCGTATTACAAGCAACCCACGTAAATAGATACACAATTCAAATGGGTTAGTCCAACAAGCCCCTATTTCGTAGCAAAAAAAAAAAAAGGCCCCTAAATCAATTGGGTTTTGTATTCAACCGTCCAAACGAATTCCTTTGGTCCAAATAGAGCTCTCAGATCAGTCAAACTGCAGCCATTATAGAGCGAGAAAGAAGGGAAGGAAGAGAAAATAAAGGAAAATAATTTGTTTTTGATGGATAAAGAAGGAAAATAATTAGTCTGTTTGCCGTTGAAGCCGTGTTTCTTTCTATATATATATTTTGTCTCCTTGTATTGATTTCCTTTCCGCCCACCGACCTCTGGCAGGGATACCCTGAATCTCTTCTCCTTCAAATTTTCTTTTTTCTCTTTTCCTTTTCCCCTCCGTTGTTAGGTAGGAATAAGAAGATTGATTTTTTATTTCGAAAATAAGAACAGAGGGGAAAAGTTTGCAAGATTTGCTGTTTGTGATGGATCTCAAGAGGTCGATCTGTATTCTTTGTATTGTACTTGTGGTTCTTCTTTCAAATGTATCTGCCAATGGAGTATTCAGGGTTCAGCACAAATTTGCGGGTCGGAAGCGTTCGTTAACTGACATAAAAACTCATGATGGGCGGCGTCACCGTCGGTTGCTTGCCAACGTTGATCTTCCTTTGGGTGGAGATGGCCATCCTGCTAGTACTGGGTCAGTTCTCCATTGACCTCGAATTTATTTTATTTATTGATGAAATTCATCCTTTTTTTCATGGGTTTCGTTTATAATTTGATATCTTGCCTTCGTAATTGAGAATGCATTCTCCATTGACCCGTTCACTTTTATCGAATTTTATTTGATTTCTTGATGAAATTCTTTCCTTTCTTTCATGAGTTTGGTTTATAATATGATATCTTGACCTCGTAACTGAGAATTGCTATTGTTTCTCACTGTGAAAATTATTTTGGCTTATTAGTGGGTAGATCCAATTTGGTGGTTTTATTTTCATTTCTTCTTTGATTTGGTTTGGTATTTTTTATTGATCTGGCAATTGGTAAGTTGCTGTTTTTAGCTCAGTTTGCGTTTTCTTTGCTAAATGAGATGCATTTTTGTTTTGATTGTTTGTTTAAGGCTTTATTTTGCAAAAATTGGAATTGGAACTCCTCCAAAGGATTACTATGTACAAGTTGATACTGGAAGCGACATTCTATGGGTGAATTGTATCCAATGCACCCGGTGTCCAAAGAAAAGCGACCTTGGTGTATGCTTCTTATTTTGATTTATGCCTTTATTTTGGTTTCTTCATTTCTTTAATTGTAGGTCAGCATCATTTTAGTATCATCATTCATTCTGGAATGTTTACTTCTGTACAGGTAGAACTTACTTTATATGATATAAAAGATTCTCAGACGGGAAAGGAGATAACTTGTGATCAAGATTTTTGTACTTCCATGTATAATGGTGAAAATCTTCCTGGCTGCTATGTTGGTGGACCTTGTGCATATAGTGTGGTGTATGGAGATGGGAGCACAACAACTGGATACTATATAAGAGATTTTGTGGAATATGCCCAAGTGTCTGGAAACTTCCAAACTAAACCAGCAAATGGAAGTGTTGTATTTGGGTAGGTCAATTTCTGTTATTTTCACCTTAACATTATTCACATTGTTAACTTTCTAGATGGCAATATGTAATATACTGACTTGAAATATTTACAACCATGGTTTTTATTCTTCCTTCTTTACCCAAATAGAAACGTGTGAGTAAGTATTTAAGCATATAGAGTACTATTGGTCTTCACATGCTTATATGGATATCCTGTTGAACCAATGAAATATACAGATCTTCAGGAAATTAATGTCTTGCTGGAATTGGAAAACCAACTTTGATAATATGTGCATTCTTATATAATGCATTTGAACCACACTTCTTTGGATGAAATAATGTTCTTATTTTCAATTTCAAGTGTGAAAATAATAAATATGTTAAATGTGCTGGAGAACCAGCTAGGAAAACTTAGGCATGCCTAGCACATGACTTCCTTAATAACAACATTGTTAACCTGGATGCATTTAACATCTCCTGAAATGAGTACAAGTTAGCCTTTTTTTTTTTAAATATTGGGGCACTAAGAGAAATGTGGAGTTGAGTTCTTTCTGAGTGCTAGCAAGGCATGTAAAGGTATGCTTTTGGTGCTTTTTGCATTGGTAGTCTTGCACATGACTTGACCTGCCACACAACAAATGCATGAATAAAAGTCTTCGACAATTAAGATCGAGTACAAAAAAATATACATTTGTAGTCAAACAATTGTGAATACTTAAGATCAGGCCTGCCATACAAATAATATAGAAGTGCCTAAAATTTCAACCATAATGCATTCCTTCTCAAGCTCTTCAAATCCAGTCACCTATACAGACATGGTGGTCAATAAGGTAATCATTGGGTTGTGCATGACTGGTGCCTTGTTCCCAATGCTTGGAAGGTGCTTGGGAATAGAAGGGATTACCTATTGGTAGGTGCCTAATTTTTTCATTTCGATTTTTGAATGACCACATAGAACTTAAGACTGCAGGTGGGAACATCTCTGCTTGCTTGACATTTCTCCTAACTTAAGATCCCACTTATTCCAATATAGATCATCTTGAAAGTTGGTTTTCTACCTTGATGATTCTTCAACATCTGATACAGCTTTGCATTTTTGAGTCCAATGAATGTCTGTAATAATCTAGCCCTTCCCATGATAACTAGGGTTTGTAGGGTGTCTTATGTCTCACACACCCAAACAAGATATGTTATATACTAATGAAATACAATAGGTGAGAGAGGACCATTGTGCACTTTGCTAGTTCAAGAAAAAATAAAGAAATATACAGTGATATGGTACATATGATACACGATAAAAGATACTCCCAAATATGAAAAACAAGAGATCAGCCCTTCTCACAACCCCCCCCTCAAATTGATGCCGAGAAAGAAGCATCAGTTTGTCAATGGCAGCAGTGTATGGTGTTGAAAAAGCCAAAGAAATGGGGATTAACAGGCTGATTATTGAAGAGGACTCAAAGATTGTTGTAAACTGGCTGAAAAAGAGGGAAGGAATAATATGGAAGCTAAGAAATGAACTCAGGCGCTTCAAGCAGATATCCAAAGACATGTTGGTCCAAGTTAGATGGGTTAGGAGATCAGCTAACAGTATGTCTGATGGGCTAGCTAAACAAGGGATTCAAAGACAATCTATATTCTGGGCTGGTTTGTAATTAGTGGTTTGCTTCTCTTGGGCTTATCCTTCTGCCCACAACTTCTTGTTGTATATGCTTTTTCTTTTTATTCTAATCAATAAATACATTCTGTGTTGCTGATAAAAAAATTTGTGTCAAGGACGAGTCGTAGCTTTGGTGAAGATGTTTGCAAGTTGAAATCCATAAGAGATATGAGGAAGGGAAATGTGGCTAGCAAGAAACAAATCTCGAATAAAATGGCAATCAACCTCAATGTGCTTCGTGTGTTCATGGAACACAGAGTTTGAGGCAATCTTGATTGTACTAACATTATCGACATGGATAGGAACTGAATGAGAGGCTGGAATATGTAGTTTTTGAAGAAGAGCTTTCAACCATACACTCTCACTGCATAGAAATGACAATGCGATATTTTGCTTCAGTAGAGGATTTAGATACTGTTGGTTGTTTCTTGCACTTAAAAAATATAAAAGATTTTTATTAAAAATAAAGAAAAATGAGATCCTCCTTCCTCTTTTCCCTCCTCCTTCCTCCCCCCTCATCTTAAGTAGGCTTACGCCTCTTACGTTCTGAACTATTCCTCACACGTCTAGGTAGTGGAATGCCTCGCGTCACGCCTCTGCGTATTTAGTAAAAGGGTGGTCAAGACGTCTATGCCATAAATTCCACTCATTATTTCTACAAATAAGTTCTGAGCTCAGAGTCTCGGAGTAGTAGAGAGTAGGCAAATTGAGTTGGGTGATGCAAGTGTCTTCTCAAACTCTAAGGCGAACAACCGTCTAAGTCTACGCCCCTTCTCCTTCACTGTCCTATTGCATTGGTCCTGAATAAGACATCCATCACGAGAAAAAGGAAACAATTGTTACCATCCTCAACAAGTTGTCCAACCGAAATTAAGTGAGTAGTAAGTTTAGGGAAAAGAAGTGTCTTATGAAGATGAAACTGAGAGGAAGCAAAAGTATGTAAAGACAAATTACTACATCCAATGATTTCTAATTTTTCACCTTTGGCTGTAATTATATGTTTATTAAGGGACTGGGGTTTAAGATGCTAACCATAATGTGCCCTTGTCATGTGGTTAGAGGCACCAAAATCAATAATCCAAACATTATTGGGTGAAGAACAATAAAAGGAAGACTTACCAGACAGTCAATGGCTGAAAATGCAAAGGAAATAACAGTAGATACTAATTGTCGCACCTTCTCCTCGATAAGAATACCAGAAGGCTCACCCTTGGTTGTGGGCCCAGTTGAAGAAGAAGGAATTGTAGCACCATCAGTTGTATTCTCAACACTAGTCTGAAGAGCCCTGTGCTGCCCCTTTGTATATCGAGAAGTACTTCCCTTAGGTGGACATGTAGGACACTCAGATATTATGTGTCCCTTCTGCTTGTAGTAGGTTCATGTATTTTTCTTTTTGCAATGAGAAGCTACATGACCATACTCTTACACTCGTAGCATTGCACCTTGGATAAATCCTTTTTAGGCTTGCATCTATTTGCCAAGAAAACTGCTTATTCCCCCATATTTAGCTTCTTGTTGATAGCTCATTGAGTTACAAGTCTTGTTTCCTCCCTTAAAAGCTCCCCCAAAATCACACCTAGGCAAGGAGTGGTATCGCCACTCAAAATATTGGACCTATTAACCTCATATTCTGGTCGTAAGTGCATCAAGAAATGCATGATCTTTCTTCTATCAAAATGTTCTTTCATTGATTTGACACAACAGGCTGTCAAGGATTCACCCATATGAATCAATTCATACTCTATCCACAAATTCACAAAACCTGCGTAACATTCCTGAATTTTATTCTGATACTGTCTGGAGAGATTAGATTGTTGTTAAACTTTCTCCATGTACTTGAACATCTCCTTTGTTGTCTTTGGGCCCCTCATTGGAATATCTATATCAGTCTCAATTGATCCAAGAATCTAGGAAATGATATTGGCATCATCAATTCTCCATTGTTTAACCCCTTTACTATCAAATTCATTAGGTTTGGGTGAAGAGTCATCAATATGACCCCAGAGACCCTGCCCCTTAACATAAAACTGGAAATGGAACTTCTATAGTGAGTAATTCCCATAAAATCTGACTGCAAGAATGTCTCTCCTGTCCGTAGCCATTTCAGTAAGAAAAACACCAAGAAGGCGCACTCCAAAGCAAGAAAATATGGTATTAAAGCAAGTAATAAGGAAAACCTTGCTATAATCCAACCTAAATCAGACTTGAAGATGTAAATAACAATGAAATGAGGGAATTCAGCACCAAAGAGAGCAGTGATTTAAAAGGCGTGCCTGAGGCGCACAGGCGAGGCGCATTTTAGGGTAGGCGCCTTGCTTAGGTCCTAGGCACAACACTTTCAAAAGGCGCACGCCTAGTGCGTGTGATGCGCCTTGCGCCTTGCGCCTTGGTCTAGGCGTGCGCCTTTTGAAAATTGTATGTTTTTTTTTTGTTTTTTTGAGCCTAGCGGTTGGGCCGGGGGCTCCGCCCCCGAACCCATGACCATGCCTCCACTTTGCTTGCTTTGCTCACTCACCGAAGTTCTGAGAACCCCCTATTTGCTAATGTTGTTCATTCATTCATCTTAATAAAATATCTTCATAAAAGGCAATTAAAATTATAAAACCATTATCCTTTGTGTGAGAATTAAGAATTTAAGACCCGAAACATGGACTTGTTTGGGCTTTCCTCGAGGGATGTGGCACAAAGGCGACTTGTAGAATCAGGAATGTAATATGTTTATGTATTTTAATTTTAGATAATATGCTTTTTAAACCATTAATTTTAAAATTTAAGTTTATATTTCTTATTAATATTATGTTTAATATTTTTTGCGTTTTTTTGGCATTTTTGAATTTTCTGATATATATTTTTAGTTTTTTTTTGTATTTTTGTGCCTTGCCTTGCGCTTCTCACCTCGGGCACAAATTGGCCATTGTGCCTTTTTTGTGCCTTGCGCTTTTAAAACACTGAAAGAGAGTAGTTCTTACAATAAAATGACCCCCAATATACTATAAAATAGAGTAGCATTCCTGAGATGGAAAAACAGATCCGAACAAGTCTGAAAGATGGGTCAAAACCCTTAAAAGCAACTGGTCCAGCCTCCAATCTGAGAAAAATAACCGCAAATCCAACTGGGCAAAGGGAGAAGGATCAAAACCTTCAAGAAATAACCACAGAAAAATAGTTCCTGAAATATAACAGTCCAGAAAAGGCAAGTTGCAGGTCTGTTGAAGATAGAAAAGGGATCAAAATCCTTCAAATTGAGTCTGAACTCCTATCTAGACAAAAGGCTCTTTTTATTGCATTAAATGTGGAAAGCATAGGCACATAATTCAGTGTCAGGGGGCCTCCGTGCTTAACCTTTACACCTCAGTTCC